AGAGTTTCCCCACTAGCTTCATGTCACACGCACGCACGCACGCACGCACACACACACACACACTCACACTGACACTCTCACACACGCACATACACTCACTCACTTACTTACTCACTCACTCACTCAGACACACACACACACTCACACTCACACTCATTCTCACACTCACACTCACACTCACACTCACACACACACACACACGAGAGCACCCGCACCCATGGTGATAATGCTGCGTAAGTTTGTGAAGCTGTTTTGGTGAAGAGTTGGAGTTAAACTTTGCAAGTACAAGCTGGCTGAAGCATGGACGGTCAGCGACATGATAAAAGAATTCTATCCACACTATACAGCACAGAGCTCAAGGAGAAAACGACACAGTGCCAGCCGCGAGAGTACCGCTTGGCTGATGATTCAGAAACCAAGCCCATCCAGGCATCTTAGAATCTTGAGCACCTCCAGATTCTTGAATACGAAGCCAGGCCAACAGGAGGCAGTGGAGCTCATCGCGGCCAGGGTTGGCCCTGGCGGCAAGGAGCGAATTGTGACCGGGATCCGGTAAGTGCTTTTCAACGGGAATTTCGCCGGTCAGTGTTTCCGGATGGTTTCAGGGTTGACGGTTTTTTTGCGAAAGGTTGCGAGCAGAACTAGTCTCGGTACCTGAATCTGTCTTCGGATAGTTTCCCGCCAAGCGCCTCCTGTTGATATGCAGGCGTCCCTACTTGGCCCGTTCCTCTTGTCTGGGCATGCCTCGATGCCAGGGGCACCTCTTCTTGAAGAGCCAAGCCTTGAAAGCAAACCGACCAAACGGCTGCGTTGGTATCTTAGAGCCGCAAGGTGTTGACTTGCGATTCTACAAGCATGTTGGCTCCGGACAGACCTGACGAGGTCATCATGGACGTGGAGCTGGTAGCGCTGGATCCCTGCCGAGGACCTGGCACACCAGGCCTGCCCCCAGAACACTCGGTGTCTGACAATGTCCAAAACCAAACGATCCTTTGTCGCCCGTAGCCGCCGTTGGCTTTGTTGCTTCACATGCTGTAGCAGTGTAGCCCATGTAGCTTAGTACTGTAGTTGAACTCCGGCCCGGATGCGGATGCAAAGGATACGTATGTCAACCGGCTACTACAGCACAAACAACAGAAACACTGTTTAGTTTAGCACCTGCCTTGCATTGCCCCGCCATGGGCCATGGTGTAGAAGCGGCAGCTCTGGTCCGATGATCTCTATCGCATCGCTGCGCGGTTGCAGTGCTTTGCTTGGGTCCATGGAGCTTCCAGTGCTTTGATGTGCTTTGTGCCACTCAGGTCGAGAGTGCCATGAACACCTACAGCCTGTTGCAAGAAGGTCGTGCACTCACCCTTTCTGTTGTTGGTCCCTTCCTGGCTGGTGCTGCTGGAGTCGGTTTGCTGTGGCAGTTCGTGTGCCTTTGGTAGACCCGCACATACAGAGTTTGATCTAGAAGGGAAAGGAGGCAGTGGAGGCAGGCGGAGGCATGCGCTTTGCTTTGTGTTACGAAGCCGAAGGTGCGTGGCAAAGCACTTGCACCGGACGGTGCGGCTCGTGCCTCGGGAGGGCCAGGGCTCCTCACTGACTACTACGCAGCGCAGCTCCGAGCTCGGGAAGGCGTCCATGGGCTTTCGAGCTTACGAGACTCAGACGGCTGTCAACGAGTACTTGCATTTCCATTATGGGCCGCAGTCGGTGCAACTGCAGATGGCGGTCCAGGGTGCATCACAGGTCACTTGGGGCTTTGAGCGTGTCCTGGACGTTTGCTTCAACCATGCCGTTGGATGGGAGCATGCCTTGGACGTAGGATGTGCCGTCGGAGGAAGCACCTTTGCCTTAAGCTCACGCTTTCAGCACGTGGTCGGTGTGGACACCTCCCACGCCTTCATCCATGCTGCTTGCTCCTTGCAGAGATCCGGCTCCCTGCCCTACATGCTGCCCGGCCGTGGGGTGCCCTGGCGGCAGTCCAGCGGAGAGTCGTCAACGTAGTGCTGTCCTGCTGGCCCCGGCCCGTTCTCGGGAATCCGAATTATCTGAGGTTTTTTTGTTTTATTTTTATTTTTTAGTCGTTATTCTTTGTTGTTTTGGTGTTCTTTTTAGCTTTCTGGCGCTTTTTGATTGTTGCCTGTTGGTTTTCTTTATCCTCCGCTTTTTGTTGCTTTCTTTGCTTGTTGCTTTGTTTGTTAGTTTTCTATGTTTTTGCTTTGTGGTTATATATATATAATATACACACACCTACATACAGAAAAGTTAAGCTAGCAAGAAAGAAAGGAAACAAGGAAGGAGAGAAGGAGGGAAGGAGGGAAGGAAGGAAGGGGGGAGGGAGGGAGGGAAGAAGGGAAGGAAGGTCTTGGAAGAAAGAACGGAAGGAAGAAAGGAAGGAAGGCAGAAAGGAGGGAAGGAAGTAAGGAAAGAGGGAAGGAAGGAAGGAGGGACGGAAAGTAGGAAAGAAGGAGTGAAGGAAGAAATGAGGGAAAGGAACAAGGAAGGAAGCAAGGAAGGAAGCAAGAACGCACGGAAGGAAGGAAGGAAGGAAGGAAGGAAGGAAGGACGAAGTATGGCAAGCAAAAGCGAAAATACAGGAAGGAAGGAAGTGTACTGTACTTGCAAGCATATCGGTTTCTCCGGCAGTTCCTGCGGTTCGGTTCGCGGTTCCTGGCGGTTCCTACATTAAATGTCATAAACCCTTGACAAAATATCTGCCCATACACACATCCCAGATGGTGTTGCCGCCTATTTCTACTGCCGCCGCCACTTCTCGTCTACTGCTTTTCAATACTACCATTGCTGGCCGGAGTCCAGGGCTTCGCGCTTTTCCTGGGCTCCCCGCGCGGCCGGCTGGCTCTCGTCCCCTCAGACCATACAAAAGCACCAAAACAACAAAACCACTTACCAATAAATTTCGGAGCCCCGTTCTGGCAGGAGAGCTGGGCATCCATCCCACGCAGTTCACAGCCGGCTCGCTGCAGCTTTGCCTGCGTGGACGTCATGGACTTCATGCACTCAGGCCCGCATGCACCCCGCTTGCCGTCAGCTAGCTTTGAACTAGCCTTTGCAACGTGCAAGCCTGTTGAGAGACAAAGATGCCTCCAAACGGCGTTCGGTGCCCACGAGCTCGATCTTGTCCGTTGGGATTGTTATTCTGTCGAAACATTCGTCGTGAGGGATCAGCTGCCCCTGAAACCTGATTGGCATCGTTCTATGACGCGCGGACGAGGTCACCCTATTGGTTTGCTCGAGAGAGAGACTCACTCTCAGGCCTGCCCCGATCAGAACCGAGCAATCGTCACGAATCCTTTTTGTACCGTCTCCGTTCTGTGTTCTTCGACCATCCTCCTACAAATCCGACTCGGATGTCTGTAGCATCAAAGAACAGGAGCGCTGAGTGCCCAAAAGCCAGCTCTTGTTCTTTCATGCCCTATTGGTATGAAAGAGAACAATCGTGAGGGTGAGGTTGAGACATGACTAACGGCTTGCCTGCGCAGTGGCCCACATGTGCGCAGGTTCGCGATTCGACTTGATTTTGGCCTGCAACGTGCTGTGTCGCCTGCGGACACCACGAGCTTGGCTCAGTTCGCTTCGAGAAGCTTTGTCTTCGGATGCTGGGTTCTTGTAAAGGATTCAATTTGAGTGGCCATAATAAAGAAGCCATGTTATCTACTACTATAGATCCCTATTATGGTAACTCAAATGAAATTCCTTAACAAGAACCCAGGATGGTGTCGTGGTCTTGGCTACGCCCTATGCATGGCTCGAAGCATGGACGCCCTCAGAAGTGCTTGGGATGCAAGAGAAACTGACTTGAACAATGTCCCGTTGTTGTATTGCTATGTGCGCACACACCTATGTACACATTATATATATATATATACACACACTATATACACACATATGGATATTTATGGATACACACATGTACACACACATGTATGTGTATACATATATCTCTCTCTCTATATATATGTGTGCAAGTATACAGAATGTTAATCAAGTTATGTGTTATCTATTTATCTACATACCTATGTATCCATCTATCTATCCATCGAGCTATCCATTTATCTATACATCTGTATATCTCTGTCTCTCTCTCTCTCTCTTTCTACTGGTATCTATCTTTCTACCTACCTATCTATCCATCTATCTATCTATATATATATATGTATATGTATAGAGGTACTGGAGGGCCACAGAAACGTGCGAGAT